GAAGTGTTTTCAGCAGGCAAAAAGGGTCCCAACACATGGAGAATGAGTTAGCTTTTCTGACCACTTCAGCTTGCAAAATGCCTTTTTTTGCCAAATGAAACAGATGAAGGTGGAGAATGACAGATGGGATGAGAAACAAGCATGAATTGGGGAAGAAGAAAAAATAGAGTACAGCCAGAGAGGCACAGGTGTCAGACTAGCTGACCAGATACTTCTGATAGACCAAGGGAAAGGCACAGAAAACAGAATAGCTCACAGAGGAAGAAACTGAATGTCAAATTAGCTTTTTCCCTGTAATCAGGCAGCCTACATCGCTTTTTTACGCACATATGAAACTCTCAGAAACCAAAGAAATAAGAAAATTAAAACTGATTTTCTTGGAAAACTGAGATTATAAACTGAATAGACTCTTACAACCACTTTGTCTTGGGAATTTGGCTTAAACACCCAGTTGAATCAAAGATAACTAATTTGATTAAGTAGAACAAGTTATCTAAATCCCTATTAAGGGAAAACACTGCCAGCAATTCAGCACTGTTTTGCAAAAGACCTTCAATGTTAAATAGTTTCAGTGAGAGCAGTACCTAGAGACCCGCAACACTTCTCCACACAATGAAGGACACATTTGTTGGGCAGGCATCACGGCAAGACAACAAACTAAACTTACGTGAAAATAAGAAGAAAATTTGCCACAGTGGTGAGGAATCAGGTCTGATCAGAACTTACCTGGTCACTGTCAGCCAAGTTGGGTCCCAGACCCTAATGGCACTGCCTCTTTCTTGCAGCATGCAATGGCATCTCCAGTTTTTGGGGAATTCCTTTCTCAACCTCCCGGTGACAGTACAGGGAGTAAACTCTATTTGTGCAAATGTTAAGAGACTGAACTATCATTTCAACTCTCACTTGTAATGAGTGGGATTTACTCTGGTTAGCATGAATCATTTTGATAACATAGATAATTAGTTTTATAGAAGTTTTACTATGTTATAAAAGTTGCTCTATCACTTGTGTTCCCCTAGGGCTCTCTTATAAAATGATTTTGTTACAACTGTATTCTTCTTGGAAATGAACTGGAGACAACTGAGCACATCTGTATGTCAAGAGAAGCACTGTAAGCCAAGACATTCAAGGCAATTTTGCTGCCCTTTTAATTTCTAAAATCCATGTGAAGAAATGCAATCACTTCTGGACTCCAGCATTATCAGCTGTTTAAAGCTGAAGACACCCATTTCCTCCCAGGCTGTCACTAAGCTGCCTCCGCACAGCCCACGGCTGTCCACAGCAGATGCTGCAGCTCAGCTACCAGGAGCTGGGATACTGTCAAATGACCTTGGGGGAAAACACTCCACAGGTATAAATAACATAGGTCTCTAATAACTTCATTTGAGCTACAGAAATTTATGCTGGATGAGGATTTGTGTCTGTACAGAGAGCTACAAGGTGAGTTAACTGGATTCCACCTTCGTGAGGAAGAAAAGTGGGGTTGGTAGGAGTGTGCAGTATGTGAAACCAGCAAGCTCTTCGGATTTTATATGCATTTTTTCTTTCATATATTTTTTGAACACTGAAAGTAGGCTATGACTGAGCCTTGTGGCTATTTCTGAAGAGCACCATTAATAAACAGACTTTATTTTTAACATATTCACATGCTTGTGAGTATGCTAGAGGAGTTTGATGAGCTTGCCCAGCCCTTAAATTAAGCCAGAAACCAGCTTCTGACCATGTTTAAGAGATAAGCCAATATTCAAACATCTACTTGATAAATTACTATTACTCATGAAGTGCAGCTGCCTGCAGTGTATTGAGAGCTGCTGTCCTGTGGCTTCCAACCTAAAGTGCTCATTCATCCCAACTTGGCCTGGCTTGGCAGTGCTTCACCTTCTCAGTGGGTCACATTCAGGGCATTTCCCCAAGGCCCAAGTCTCCCAACACTCATCTCCTGCAGCACAGGGAAGGCAGGTTAGAAATGCTGTTCAAGCACAATACAGACTTCAGGCTGAATGGGCACATGCCAGCAGCAGCTGTGGGCAGGGTGGTAAGAACCTGCCATGCTGCCATTTTGCTTTTCCTCTGACATGATCACAATCACTAGGTCAGAGTCACAGTCCAAATCACCGCTCACCTCCTCCTACCCCCTTGGGTCGTGCCCCACTGCAGCTGTAAGAGCAGGCAGAGAAGGGGGCATTTGGAGGTCTAAGGAGTGAAGTGAGAAGGCTGCAAGGAGTCAGAGGGACAACAGGCAAAAGGCACTTCATAAAACCCAAGATGTCCTGAAGATAATTAATTAAGAGCATCTTCTGCAACTACTTTAATACTATGATGCTGTCAATGACGTATGAACTCAGTCAAATATAACAGGCAGTAAAAGCAAATGATGGTGGCATTTGACAACTGAAAGACAGCAAAGTCAATTAAAAAAAGTAATTTTAGGGCTTTGAGGTGTTCTGAATTTAAACCAGAATTCCTGACACTCCTATTCCAGCCATCTGTGTTCTCTCTCTAGTTACTGGAACAATGAAAGGCATGTGCAAGAGCTGGTTCACCCCCATCCTTAGACTGGTAGGATATATCCCATTTTGAAGATGTCAGTCTGTTCTCATCAAGAGTGAAGGCAGCTGGAATGGCAACCTTCAGCCACATACAAGTTGCCTTAGAGGCTACAGGCTCATTGGCAAAAGGCGTCCCACTCTCTCTTTCCTCTGTTGTTTTAAATCTACACACCAGCAGAGCACCAACCAGTCATCCTGTCAGATCTGTACTGCCACTTTGCTTCTGGTTTAAGTATTTTGTCTTTAACAGATTTTTTTGGATACTTCCTCCAGACAAGAAGCCGTAATGATTTCCTACAAGCGTGCAGCCCCGGCGTGCTGTGGCGCACTGTTTGAAGAGCCAGCTGTTGAGGAGCAGCCGCAGCGGACTTAAAAGTAAACAAATCTCAGCCGAGGGAAGATCAGAAGGGCCGACAGACAGTCCTACTGGTGCTGATTTATACTTCCTTATCTTTTATCTCCTTCCCTCTCCTCCCTGAGCACACTAGCTGTTCTCCCACGGTCCTTCTCCCAGGGAAATCCCTGTGCTTGCTTTCTGCTATCATGCATTTTCAACCCTCAAGTTCTTTAAGTCTTCTAACTTAAATGTAATACCCCCCCTCCTGGTATACTACAAACCTGCTGGGGTAAAGAACCAACTTGAGCTTGCTCCTAGGAGCACATAAATAAATCCCTGGCTCTGGGAGCAGAAAATCTCCAATACTTTGCCCAGAAGCAATCTGAAATAGCAGACGCAGAATGCCTCCCACTGCACAACAAGCAGAGGAGGTGCTTCGACTGACACTGCTTTTCCAGCTCTCCACTCATGAACTCCCCCCCCCGGACATGAAGCCGTCAGCAGGACAGTTACCGAGCAAGTGCAGACCTGCTACCCTTGTGGCAGAACCTCCTTCCAAAGACACTCTCTTCACTAACAGCTTGTAAAACCAGAAAAGATGGCTGTGCCATGTGGTGTAACGAAGGCTACAGGGCTTCTCTGAATTAATCTGAATTCAGACATTTTTTTCAGAAAACAGGGATGTACATTTCTAGTGCTGATTAGTCAATCCCAGGACCACCCTTCATGCGTGTTCCACTGCAGTCTCTGCTGTCAAAATATTAACTAAAAATATGGGGCAACTTTGCCTAATCTCAGCTACAAGCTCTTGCTAAACACTTATTTTCAGACAATGTTCAACCTTTCAAATTTGTACTTCTGTAAAATTACTTAGATATTTTAATCTTCTGATAAACTAAGAGGTATATTTTCTGAGCCATCAATATTGCTGTTACAATCATCTATTCTCTTCATTTTCATCTTAGTGACATCTATAATACTAAGCTGTTACTTTCATATATATTCATTTTTATTCCTGCACACTGATTTAAGTCTGATTCCCTATACAAGCAGCTATTTAACATCTGTACAAAAGATTTTATCAACATGTGATATGAATTCTTCCATCTGGTGTTCCACTGAAGACAAAGCACAAATATTTTTGAACACCTCTGCTTTTTCTGACAGTGCTGTAACTTCCATTCTAGATTTAGTGCTGTAATTTCCATTTTAGACTTAGTACTGTGGAAAGAAAACCCTCTTTTACTCGGCCCAAGTTTTTAACTCAGAGGTTATTTTGCTTCTGTATTAACCCACTATCACGCCTCGTTTCTCATCTATAGTAGATTCTTCCTTGCCTGATTTTCCTTCTCTTCCCTGCCTTCTTAACTGCTGCCCTCTGCTCCTGTTATCTTCATTGGTGTTTAGAGAATTCCATGCAGCACCAGGTGCATTTATGTCACCAGAAAGTAATTATTACACAATATTTCAGTCTATCTTAAGTGAATCAGAAAAATAATCACATTGAACATGGAAAAAAAAAAGGCAAAGTTCACACCTCAGACTACCAAATGAAATCCATGTGTGCTTTTCTGATGTGTTGTAATTATATGTTATTACTTCAGGATTGCATAAGGGTATAATTTCTTTTGAACATGTTCACTACTTATTTTCTATAGCAGCTAAAATCCAAAACATAGTATAATTTCAGATTAAAAGCATGATGCTGAGTTAACACTGTTATAAACCCAACTTTTGGATAGCTGGTTCAGCAGCCCCAGTGGGAAAGTGTGGAATGCTTGAAAAGGATTACAGTGGTTTTTACATTTACAAAGAGTTACACTGCTGGTCACAAGAGAGGTCTCACGTTACTGAGAGTACACATATTTGCTGGAAAATAAAAGTCTCTCAAAAAGAAAAAGGAAAAAAAAGGAAAGGAAAAAGCATCAGATATCTGAACAGCTGGAAGCATTTTTAGAAACTACCAAAAAAGAGAAAAAAATTAGAATAATATTTCCCTTTCTGTAGTAAGGATCATAGTGGTGATATAATATGTTCTCAAGAGGCTTAATCACGTCTACTGTTCAATCCTCAAAGGTTATTTCATAAAACAAAAATCAGTAGAGTCAACAGAGTTTCTTCGCAAAAAAACTGAAGCCATCGTTCTATTTATTTTTCTACCAGCTCCCATCTTTGTCAGATGTCCTAAGAGCTATAAATCTGTGACAATAAGCTACAATCCACCGTACTCTGGCACAAGACAAGATTTTCTTTCCTTCTTTGTCTATATCTGGTTTCATATTAGGAAAATGTTGTTTGATGCCACTCTGACAAAACCTTGAAAAGACTGCTGTTTACAGAAGGATCAAATGAGATGGTGAATTAAGGAAGTAATAGCATCCATGAGCATAAAACAATGCAACTACTACATATATTTTGATAAAGTATCTGCACACTAGAACGAACATCACTTGAATTTCTTTCAAATTAAAATGTAGGGGCAATCTCCTAATTTTAAATGCTTTGCTTATTCCGCCAATTATGATGCTTTATTTATTTTACTGTAGTGCCTTGTCAGCACTAGGATTTCCTTTGGCTAAGTTCTTTTTGTCACAACAAATCTTTCAACATATGCCAACTCCAGATAAACATAATTGTTAGTTTGTTCCAGTACGAAAATCAGGTGACAAACAACATAAGGCTCCCTAAGCAACACCCTTGAATTCCCTTTAAAACACAGTTCCATTAAATACTCTCCTAGGGATTGTTAAATTTACATTCATCAGCTATTGTATCCTTTACAGAACTTCCCATCTTCACAATATGTTTTTACTGACACTTAAATTTACATTTAGTTTTTGTGGTTTTTTTAATCACTTAATTTACAGCAAAATACCCACATAGTTTGTTAAGCAAAACCATTAATTCTTTCTTCTTAGGGACCAACTGCAGATACAGAATCTAGTCAGTCAGCCATACAAGCCAGAAGCCTTGTTGTGGCATGCCTGAAAATATGCCAACTATGATTTAATCAAAACATTTCTTATCTAAAAATGTCTAAACCCAGTTCTAATAGAATGATAGTGCTATACATATAAGATAGTTTTCACCTTGCAAAAACAGGCAGTGCAAAAAATCAGGTAAAATATCAAATGATACCCAATAGCACAGACTCTGCTAAAAAAGGGGTGCATCATCCAATCAGTTCTCATTCTTATTTATCCCTTCCCAAACATCCGCTTTTTCTGACTGAGTTGTTCTAATCTTTATTCTTTACTTGCTTCTCTCCCAAGTTATTTGCCCTCATCTCTCAGTCTTGGTTTTCTTCCTCTCTTGCTTCTTTCACTGCATTTCCGCTGAGCAGAACACTTATGATACCTTTTGCAACAACCTACAGAGGAACTCTAAACGACAAGGCCATTTCTACAGAAAAATTCATCATTTTTCTTTTTTTTTCAAAACACATTCAATACCATTTCATAATTTACTTAAAGGGAAAAAGAAAGCCTCACTGATAACATTCCCGTTGCTCATCACCCACTATATAATGTGCAACCTTAAGCTGCTCCAGCCTTCTTTTTGAATTATTTTGTACCCCCTCCAAAACCTGCCCTCCTGTACTTCAAACAGTTCCCCACACCTGTCCACTTATCATTAAAAGGAAACTCCATGTGAACAAACATGCAGGGACCAGATTCAGGCCATATCTACGCAGCAACATTGCCAACATATTTTCAATAGCCATTGTTCTCTGCAATGTAATCCTCAAAATGCCTGCAGATCCATATTCACCAAAATATGATACTACTTCACCCAGTAAAGCCCTTAAAGTAAAATGGTCAAAACTAATCCACACTACACAATAAAACAAACACATTCAGGTAACAGATAAAAGGACACAGTTAATAGGAGAATACTCAGAAAACAACTGCAGATGCCTGAAGCTCAGAGGAAGATCTGCAAGAGATGAGCCCAGGAAGTAAAATTCCAATTCTGTTGGATATTTAAAAACTACTAATTCAATAGCAAGACCAGTTTTATGGCACACTGTAAATTCCATTCCTCCTCTAACCATACTATTTTTACTTAAAAACATGGCCACATGTGCACCCAATGGATCATCGCAGCTATAAAAGCATGGCCACCTTACATTTTATTCTCCACTACGAAACATCTGTGGGGTACCCATTTTACTCCTTTGTCTCTCTTATGTGTGGCAACATATCTCTTTTTTCCATCACAGACCTCTATGACCACAGTTTTTCTTCTCCACTCTTTTTGTTCCCTATCTCAAGTACAGTTCCTAGTTTTCTACTTCATCTTTTTTTCCAGTTTCGCCTCTGTTACAAACACAATTTGCTTTTCCCCAGCACAGAACTCCTGCAAGGAACACAGTTAAACAAGGCTAAAGAAAATCCATGAACATGTGAGAAAGACCCATGTGAACAGTTCTGGGTCATGACACTCAACAGGTAAGCCCTAATACTGAATCAATGTGTGTACCAAAAGAGCATTCACCCTGAAGATAAATACCACTCACCCTGAAGATGAGTTCAATTCCTGTTTACTCAGATGGTCCAACAAGACCAAATTTTCTAACAGCACATTCTAGTAGATTTGTTCTCTCAAATTCCATGCTTAAGCTCCTATGCAATGGAAAACCATCATCTCCATAACTGAAACCAGGTGATCCAATGAAAGTATTTATTACTGTTCCACCAACATGAACAGTCAAACTTTTACAGGTGTTCACAAAAAAGCAAAACCAGTCACAACAATATTTTACCCACAATTATGAAGACATATGCAATCTTCCATAAAAGAATTCAGTTCTGCTGAACATTTTTATGAGTCCATGATAAACGTTTCGAAGTCGTGGTCTAAGTCTGAAACAAGGGCATCCACAAAATCTTCAACTGAAGGTGATTTCTGAAGCATACCTACAAAAAAGCAAGACAACAGACTCTTCACAAGAATACTATGACCTTGACAGCTTTGTCAATGGTAACATCTATTGGTAACTAACTTTTAATGTCACTATATGACAGAAATGGCTATCACGTTTCTTTGATAAGAACTAAGTGCAGTTATAGTGTATAGGGATTATTTAATTTCTTCAAGCTACCTGTTACACGTTATCACAGAATTGACAGGGTTCAAGACTGTTAACTGATTTTTATCACTACAATCTTGCTTAAGCAGGGAATTATATCCATTTTAAAGCAATGTAACCACAGACTCAGTCATTTCCAAATGACTGGAATAAATCAGTGATTGAGCGGGTATATAAATCCTTATCTGATAAGTCTCAGCTTTGACTGAGCCGGAAAAAAAATATATTTTCTCAATGTGTTACACACCTTAGAAGTACTTGATTTAGTATTTAAAGTACAAATGCCTCTGAAATTTTTGACAAGGCATGAAACATAAACAAAAGCATTTTCAATACACTGCAGTTTTAGTTTTGCTTTTTTACAGTACCAGGACTTTTATTAAGGATTTTAATAAGTGCATCTGTTGGCTGTAGCATTTGGCTACAGGATAACAGGGAAATTAGCATAATGAAGAATCATGCTGAAGTATTTTTTCAGGTAACTCTATGAATGGAGCAGTTAAAAATCTCACACCCTCCTCAGAATCCCAATTTTTGGAAAGCATGAGAATATATACTTTAAATTATTTTCAGATCTTTCCTTGTACTTAGCATTACATAATGTTGGTCTTTTCACTGTTATTAAGATTTTCAAGTTTATATTTGGAAATTTACTGCATAACTTGTACCAGAAAAAAACCAACAGCACAGCTGCCAAATAATGTAAAATTTAATCTTTGTATTTCTTTGAAGTGATCTGTTCTTTCTGACCACTGCCAATGTAAATATAACCTTGTTCTACTCTTTCTGATCAGGGTACCTACTGAACATAATTTTATAATCTTTCACATCCTCAATAATATTTGCTTTTGGTGGAAATTATAATTGCATGCTGCTAAAAGACCATAATCTTTTACTATAACACAATGATTCAAAACCCATCAGGAAACAGATCAGCTCAAAGTAAATTTGTGTGAGCAACCAGAAAGAATGTTCCTGCTAAGACCTTACAGAATTCCATTTCAATCTGATTTAAACACATGTTACAAGTGTCAACACAAACTGCCATGACCCAGTAGATTAATGCTGAGCACTAAAAGGAAAACAAATCTCATACTATATATAGGTTAACTGAAATGCTGTTAAATGAAGTTTGCATCAAGCTATTTTTAAAATGAAAGAGAACAGTATTACTATTTCCAAATACTTGGTAAACTTGTAATCTACTCTAATGTTAAAAAAATTGCTGTGGAATTACTTGTAGTTCACAATGAAAAATGTCTTGCTATGTGCTGGGCTGAGAAACAGATGTGTACAGATACCCAGCTACTAATCTGACCTCCCCAGAGAGCCATGGCCTCTTGCAGACTCCCTCTCTTGGGTTCCTCAGTGGGCTGGCTGAGGGACATGCATATTTGCTCCCTAACAGCCTTGGAAAAATTCCAGTTTAAACTCATATTTTCCTGCAGTTTTCACAGAAGTGGAGAGAATGCTGTAAGAAGGTGACATGGATGGCAGCCCACTGGAACATGCCAGTGTCATGCATGACTACTGGAGCTTTGTCTCAGACTCAGTTGGAGCAGTCCAGTCCCTACAGTGCGATTTGTTTTGCCTTTTTTTGCTCTCATTTTTCCTCAAACATTTTTACATCTGAACTAACCAGCTCTATTTCTTGAGACTGAACAGTAGTAAGATCTTCATGGGTGCCACTCCTCTGATCTTCTTCGGAGGGCTACTTTGTGATGAGTTGTGCCTATGAAGACTCTACTTTTCCCTGCACCTCAGAAAGGAAACCTGGATGACTAGCTCAGGTATAAAATCTCAAGTTGGTGACATTATTCCTTCCTTCCAATTTTTCAAGATGTGGTTTTATAAAAGAACAATTATTCTCTAGCCAATATGTCTTTTTTCATCGGATATCAATACGGAGAGATGACTATAATGCTGCATAGAGAGTGCACAGAGATGGCCATAACAGACATAACCACTATTTCCCAAGCCCCACAATACAAAAATCCCCTTCCAATACTGACTATAAAAAACAGCCACTCTGGATGATGTTTAGCCAATTCTTTGACACACTAAAAATTGTTCTGCTAATTATCAGTACACTGCAAAAGAAGAAGAGCTAAAAGTATAATGATTAGGTGGAAGAAACTGAAGCTGGGATTATCTTCAAGTAGATTTAATTTCCTGCTTACATAAAAATGGAAAATTATAACAAAACCATTCCAATCCAATTGGATTCCATTCCAATTCCAATTTTGATATTACAAAATGAATAAAAGAAAGATAATTAACTACAGTATACTTGGATGTATTTTAGTGCAGTTAAGTACAGTCTTACAAATCTCACTCAAAACTTGTTACAAATTCTATTTATTTACACTCCACATGGTTTGTTTTAAATATGTAGGAGATTTCAAAATCATTCTGGCAATTGTGATGTCAAATGACCTCCAAACCAGTAGTTCCAACTTTTGATAACAAAAACAGATTTCAGATTTCTTGCATTAGCAGTCTGCTGCATTGCTATTTTCCCATCACTGACATCAAAAGCAGACACTAGCAGACTTCACTTTTGCAAGGAAGGGATGAAGAGTAACTGAGGTCATTGCTGAAGAACTCCTACTGTAGTGAAGCGATGATGCCCTTATGAAATAATTAACTACAGATTTTAGAGTAGACAACTCCAAAAGAAACGGATACTTATGGTATTTCTCTGTTTTAACCTCTTACTCTACACAGATGTGTTAAAAAAGGTCACATCTCCCTTTAAAATCCATTAAAATATATCAAAGCAAGATCAGCTTTGATATATTGTAAGCACTCAGCACTTCAGTCTACATGATTTAGTAAGATGTCCACAAGGTCTGATGGTTGCAGTTTTCAAATTTAGGAGTGTATTTTAATATGTTTAGCCCAACTCCTATTTCAGCTCAGTCTCTCCCAAGCCTAAGGCAACTGCATAGCTTATCTTCTCTGCTTTGAAGTTTTCTTTCACATTACAGCACTGTGGTTAACCACACCCTTTTGAGAGATGGTTAGCTATAACCTACAATCACTGAAAATTGAGAGAATAAAGCCTGTGGCAAAATTTGGCCTCTGCCCCTGTGGAACAGTAATTATTTTGGGTCCATGTAGTTTGAGTTAACATATGTTGCCATTCACATCACCTTTTAGGATTTATGCATATTTCTAACACTTTCAAAGAGATACAATGATTATCTGAAGATTTTTGCAGCCTCTTCAAATCATAATTATTCCATGAAGTACAATTTGAGGCATGGAAAAACAAATTTTCAAAAACTGCATCAGAGTGTGTTTATTTACACAGTCAGTCGGTTTGGTTACCGTGTAGGCACACAGCTGTGTATGACTGCAATACAATATGGCATTAACAAATCAAGAACACAACTTCACATGTATTTTGCATGAGGACTTCTTCAGAAACCCCAAGGGCAATGTGACTGCGTCAAAACTGAAGAGAAGTGCACTCCAGGATATGTTCCATGCTCTCAGTTCCCAAAACATTTCACACTGCAATTCACTTTCTGACTGTGCACCTGGGTTTCTTTCCAGTCAGGGAGTGCCAAGGGAGGGAGGGAGGGATGGTGCACACCTGAATCTTGTTCTGACCTGCAACCAGCACACAACTGGACCTGGAAGGGACACCTGGGATACATAACTTTAAAGGGATTTGGAATCCCTAATGCCATGTACTCCTAGGAAGGAGAAAATATACGAAAGCCATACGGTCCACGCAAAATGACAGAGCAATCAAGTTCTTCTCAAACTGTATTTTCACTTTAAGGAAACATTTTTTAAAAAGTAAGCCTCCTGGACAAAGCATGGTTCACTCATTTTTTAAGTGCTTCTGCTATCCATATTTGTGACTATTTCTGTATTTTATTGATGATCAAAGGGGTAAGATAAAAGGGGTCACTTCAGAAAATGTTTTAAAAGGTTTCAAAAAAAGTTACGGTTTTTGAGTTTTTTAATGGAAATAAATGCCAAGAGAATCAAATCCAAACAACAAAAAAAAAGTATATTGTATTTCCTAATTAAAGACTAGTCCAAACAGGAACCTGTCAGTAACCTTGTCAGTAACTCCACTGGATGGCAAGTCAGATCCTTTATCTTTCCTAATCAGTACATCTATGGAATCATGTCACAGAAGATGAAAAGCTAGGGTCATATCCAAATACAAGAGAAAGACAATAGATGGATTCTGAGATGAAAATCATAACAAAGAAACTGTACAAATGAAATGTGCTGTTATCAAACAGTCAATGAACATGGCTAACTTCACAAGGAGATACGGAAGCATTTCAAGGGTGAGGCTGCACATCTGCATCCAAAAGTCAGACATCTGCAAGGGCATTTCTATATATAAAAAAAATGCCTGAAATAACAGCCTAGAGAACTTTAGGGTTTTGAAATATGGCACTAGTGTGCACAGAATCTGGACTCTTTCCCTGAAGAAGAGTAAAATCAACAAACTTTAAAGTTTGGTGGAATCTATCTTTAATCAGGTATCTGTTTTGTCATTTGCTATGGGAGCACAGTTTTGCAACTAATGGAAACCAACAGATGGAAATCAAGTATTCGGGAACATCTATAATGAAAACCAAAATAAAAGCAGCAAGAGGAATCAGAAGCTGACTGAACCTAAAGAAGTTAAGGAACAACTAATTGTTCTTACTCTTCTCCTTAAATTCTCAATTTTTGTAATAAATACAGAGCAATTAAGTATAAACTTATAATAAGTTTTTCCATCAGGTGTGTTCTGTGATTTAGCCTCAAATAATCCCAAATCAGAAATCAAATTATTATCTTGTTAAAACACCTGAGTCACCCTGATTTCATTCTTCAGCGAGTCATTCAAGCATGTTTGTTAAGTTTTGCACTGTGTACAAATGAGCATCACAATATGCACAGAAGGAACCTGCTGATGAATTCTGGGGTTTTTTTATGATCTTGAATAGGTTTTAAGATTTCTGTTTAAAGAGACACAGAGTATAAAAGTAAAATACAGAATACAAAAGTGTCCAGGGAAATAATCTGAAGCAAGGAAGATGTACCCTTGGTGGAAGAGGATCAGATCATGGAACATTTAAGAAAACTGGACACAAACAAGCCCACAGGCCCTGATGGGATATACCCATGAGTCCTAAGGGAGCTGCCAGATGGCATTGCAAGGCGACTCTCAGTAACCTATTAAAATAGGGGAAGTACCAAAAGACAGGAAAAAAGCGAATTTCACTCCTATCTTCAGGAAGGGCAAGAAGGAGAACTCAGGCCAGTCAGTCTCAACTCAATACCTAGGACGATGGTGCAACAGCTACTCCTGGAAACCATTTTCAGGCTCATGAACCAAAAAATCATCAGGAATAGTCACCATGGATTCATAAAGGGCAAGTCATGCTTAACTAATTTGATAACCTTATATGATAAAATGACTACACGGTGTTCTGTAAGATCCTCATTGAGAAGCTGTTGATGTATGGGCTGGATAAGCAGACAGGGAGCTGGACTAAAAATGTGGCTGAATGGCAGGGCTCAGAGGGGAGTAATCAGTGCCACAAAGACTGGTTAGAGGCCAGTGACCAGCAGTGTACTCCAGGGGTCAATACTGGGTTCAGTCCTGTTTAACATCATTAATGATCTGGATAATGGGGTCCTGCATCTGGGGAGGAACAACCCCAGGCACCAGTACATATACTGGGGGACACTCAGCAAGAAAGCAGTTTTGCAGAAAAGGTCCTGGGGGTCCTGGTGGACACCAAATTTAACATGAGCCAGCAATGGTTCCTTGCCACAAAGAAGGGAAATGGCATCCTGAGTGCATTAGGAAGAGCATGGCCAACAGGCTGAGGGAGTTGATCCTTCCACTCAGAACTGGTGAGGCCATTACTGTGTCCAGTGCTAGGCTCCTCAGTACAACAGACATGGACATGCAGGAGAGAATGCAACAAAGGCCCACTGAGATGACTGAGGGCCTGGAGCATCTCTTCTACGAGGAAAGGCTGAGAAAGCTGAGATTGTTCAACCTGGAGATGAGAAGGCTCAGAGGTATAAATACCTGAAGGAAGGGTGCAAAGATGATGGGAGCCAGGCTCTTATCAGCAGTGCCCAGTTACAGGACCAGAAGCAAGGGGTATAAACTGAAATACGAGGGTTACCTCTTAACATTTTTTTCCCTGTGAGGATGAGCAAGCAGTGGCAAAGCTGCCCAGAGAGGCTGTGGAGTCTTACTCCTTGGAGATATTCAAAAGCCTTCTGGACATGGTCCTGGACACCCAGCTCTAGAGGATCCTACTTTAGCAAGTGTGTTGGCCCAGCTGACCTCCAGAGGTCTCTTCCAATCTAAACTATTCTGTGATTCTGTAATTCTGTGAAAATATCTCGAAAACTTCTGCCATTTTTTGTAAATCAGAGTCTGTGCTCTTATCACCAGTATTACTCACGCTAATGCTGACACAGAGGAGTCACTGCTGTCTGGTTCTTCTATTACATGTGAACAAACACGCCAGCAGGTGCACTGCTGTTACTAACCTTGATGTGACACACAGTTCTGTTTAGTGGTTTATGGATTTAGAGAAAAAAGACAAAAATCGAACCTTTTATACAGATTTTTTTGGTCACAGCATAAACATGCCATTATGCTACCATTAATGTCAAGTTCACTGTTCTGCAGTACACACAACTGTTCCTTAGACAAGCTTGCTCTTTTCTTCAAGCCCCAGGCTGCACAGCCATCGCCTCTTTCTCATTCGCCATTGGTCCTGACGAGTTACTGATGAACATTCTGCACTAAATTAATTGAGGACTAGAAGCATGAGGACTATGAAGATTGAAATGCCTAAAACATCTAATTACCGCATTACAAGCCTTAAACTTGTTTGTGTGCTTTCATGTACCTTGCCAAACTTTATACTTAGATTTCCTTTAAACTTAAAATAAACTTGCAATTTCCTAGACTACGATATCAGTCTTTCAGATTAATTTCAGTAGCAAGTTTTATCCATAATAACTGATGCATACTCTCAACTCCAAACTGATTGCACCATATTCCACTGTGTTCTATCACATGCAAGGGTGAAAGCCAGCCGTACTTCCATAGATCCTCTCTAAGACCATCCAGAGATGAATTTTGTAGTATTCATATTCATATAGTATTTGATTCAAGGAAGCACACTGCCAGCAACTTCAACATAGTTTCTAGGACACTCCAGGAAGATTCAAAGCTCAGTAAAATTAAGAATATATCCCAGAAATAGAAGAGACAATAAGCATAACTGGTGTCTAAAAACATCTTTTTCTTTCTCTATGATATGACTTACAATATAAAAATTAGGTACACATGTAAAGATGTACATTCTTGTCTTGCAACTACTTAATCCACAGTTTTGGGTTTCAGTTTTTCAAGGTTACAAACACAGATTCTTCAAGAACCCTAAAGAAAAGTAAGTTTGCAAAGTCATACTGAATGAAAAGTAATCCTGTAGATCAGAAGTATAAATAGAAAAAAATCTATAAAGAATATACAGTTGCTTAATATATGGTGAGTCTAAGGAGAGCAGAGGTCATGGCCTCAAATATAAATAGATGGGTCAAAGAACTGGGATGTTCTAGTTATTAAACTGTGTCAATCTCATGATGAAGTACAGACACATTACTATTGTTTCCTCATCTGCAAAAAAAAAGTCCTACAAGTTCAAGTCTACTAAAATGGAGTGAACAGAGCAAATGAATTCATATTCATCCTTAATATTAAGAATTTCAGAGGAAATTGAAAGATGTGCCATTAGATGAAGCACTTAGCAAGTGCTCATGTTAGGAACAGCAACAGGAATGCAAAAATGTTTGGCTTGAATTCTGCAACATTAGACAGGAAAGCCTTTATCCTGATCTTATTAAGAGATCTGAGATAAAGTCAGCATTTTCTCAAATTTGCTTCATTCTCCTGACATTATTTTTTAATATATGAAATATAATATTTTTGCTATTAGTATGAATGATTTTTAAAGTTATTTTCCAGATTAAAAAGGCAACTATGGTAGTGAGAGGAATAATGAACTGTTTCTTTAATACAGTTTTCAGACCTCCATTTCATGAGAATGTATACTCAAAGTACTGATACAACCAAAGATATTCTGATGATGCTAAAATGTGGCCAAAACAAGTTCAATTTTGTCTATACAAAATAACCAGAGATACTATGACTTCCTCATCTGGAAAAGTTACTAATTTATTGTATCCAAAAATGGTGTCATTTTTCTTCCTTCAAGTATGTGATACTCTTATTCCGAATTCTTTAGACAGTCTGGTAATACCAACCTTCCCAACACTTCACCCCAACTATCTGTGTGTTCTACTGACCACGATACAAAGGTGATGACCATTCCACTTAACTAAATAAATGAATAATTTTTCTTTCACAAACTCAATGAAAATCATAATTAAACTGAAAAGAGTAAGTTGGGAAATGCAATTATTTCTTCCTCAAGCAAGAGAATAAAACAGTTCTAATTTATTTTCTACCTTGAACCATCAGTATGGGCTCTTTTCCACCGCCGTGTGCCAGCATCTCTCTACGATAACGCTCTCCCATTGCCCTGGAGAAACACAGATGTTAGAGCCATCTGCAAATACAACCTGTCCAGCTTTCAGTCAGATTTGCTTCTAGGATCTCTACAGAACTCAGAAACAGAGACCGAACGATATTTTCCACCCTGAAACAATGACTGATTCCATGTTGACTCCTCAAATTCAAATTACACTTGAAATCATACTCTGAGTAACTGAACTAGACAAATTTTATACATGTGAGTATGTACTGGTGTTTATAAAAGTTAATTTGTGAACAACATTTCAGCCTTCCTTGCTCCAAGAGGAAAAGTTGCTCTGTTACAATAAACATTCACCAAAGATATAAGAATGCTTAAAATCTGTGATCTTGCAATTTACTTTTTAATTTCACAAAGCAAAATGAGTAGGACAGCTACACTTAGCTTTGAAGCTGGTAACATGAAACTTGTTTAATACGCACAGTTGCTTTGATTTCAATAGAAAATTACAAGTAATTAGGCATCTATGAAATTCAAGCTCTCTAATTACATCTAAATAGGAATTTCAGTGCCTCCCAATGGACACACCTAGATTTTAAAACATCAGCACAAATCTTTTTGCACCAATGGACATGTCCCAAAGTGTGTGTGTGTGTGTGTGTACATACATACACACACATATATATATATATATATATATATATACACACCCATGGTTATTTTGTAATCCTCCTAAAATCAAGAAAAATGCTAAAAATTAATTTTCATAAAAAAGCCCATCAACCTATGTGGCCCCATTTGTTCCATATTTTCCTGAAGCAACTAACATGACATTTCATTCTACTTGACATTTTCTCTGTTTTTACCTATCAAACGGGTTCTGAGCAAAACACTGTTTCCACACCATAGAGGCAACAGCCCTAGACATGAGGTAGGAGTAATATTTGGCACCGTAGCCCACAAGATGACTGAATCGCAGCTGCCAAGCCTGTAAGAAATAAAAAAAAAAACAAAACCCAAAAGTTATCTTTTAACTTCTTTAAATTGTTCAGCATTTCTCTCATGTATGATGGAAGAAATCTGATATCACTAATAACAAACAATTAAAGAAAAAAGAAAAAAAGCAACCACCACTTATCCCAGACTGAACAGTCCTTTATTACAAGAAGCATTTTTCAGCCTAAATACTGTATATGCAACACACTGATCATCACGATTGAAATTATATATAAACAGGGTCAGAAGGGAAGAAAACCAAGCAGTAAAAAAAAATTACTAATATTTAATAATAGCTATGTTGTTCTATTGGTCTTGAAAAAAACCAGAATTACCTTACTACAAGTAATATCATATGTTATAATTTCCCATCTGGGTAAGTGCAGTGTCACTGGAAAAGTTCAATTTATAAACTTCTGTCACAAACAAAATGGTAATACGGACTTGCATTTAATACTATAAAAATATACAACTTTCCATATGCCAAAAACCTCAGAGGTAGACAAATTACATCCAGATGAAATACCATTGCTCACAGATTTGTTTGCACATTTTTAAATGCATATATATAAGATTATAATCCACAATTATATGGTTTTTCATGTATTGTTACTTGACTTTATGACACATTCCAGTGATGGCAGATGTAGTCAGACAATGGGACTCACTTCAAAAACAGTTTAGTTACTAGTTGGGCCAGGGAACGTGGCACCAAATGGGTATATCATATCATATCATGCACCTGCCGCTGGAAAAGTTGAGCGATGCGACAGATTGCTGAAAACTACTCTGAAGGCATTGGGTGGAGGGACTTTAATTGGGATCAGCACCTAGCAAAGGCTACTTGGCTAGTCAACACTAGAGGCTCCGTCAATCGAGCCAGCCCTGCCCAAACAGAGCCCCTTCACACTGTGGATGGAGACAAAGTCCAAGTAATTCACTTGAGAGGTATGTTAGGTAAAGCAGTTTGGGCTAACTCTCCCTCGAGCAAAGGCAAACCCATTCATGGGATTGTCTTTGCTCAAGGACCCAGATACACTTGGTGGATAATGAGAGAAGATGGGGAAACCCAGTGCGTGCCTCAAGGAGATTTAACCTTGGGAAAAAACTAATTTGTATTCTGAGTTGTATGTTGCAGGAAAAGTCACCCCACCATTGAGTGCTGCTGTGCCAGACATGTTGGAGCTCCAGTACAAACTGGAGTCCAAGGCAGAGAAGTGGTACGCCACCACTGATATTGCAAATGCGTTCTTCTCCACCCCCTTAGCAGCAGAGTGCAGGCTGCAGTTTGCTTTCACGTGGAGGGGTGTGCAGTACACCTGGAATCGATTGCCCCAGGGGTCGAAACACAGTCCCACCATTTGCCATGGACTGATCCAGGCTACACTAGAGAAGGCTAAGGCTCCAGAACACATGCAATATATTGATGACATTATTGTATGGAGGGGAAAACACAGCCATAACCCACTACAGCAGACTTCTTTTTTAATGCTGCTTGGTGTTGACAGTTTACTTATGTTTTCTTAGCAAAGAAAATCAGAAGTATCAGCCCTACTTTCACAGAAGTAAAAATACCTCTTTTTTTTATTATTATTTCCCTGACTTTAACAGAATAATTTAAATTGTGACAGACCTTCAAAAGTCATCTGGCCCAGCCCTCACTCAAAGAAAAGGGAACTTTAATGAGATTTCTCAGGGTTCTGTCTAAAGTCTCAGCATCTCCAGGGATGAAGATTTCATTGCCTCTCCAGTGCAATGCAAAAAGGTAAGCAGGTCCAAACTGAAAAGACGTTGTTTCCCAACATATTTGGGCATATTTTTTGAAATGAGAATGGATGACTATATAAAAGAAGGAAACTTACTCTGCTCTGTCAGCTCTGAGGAAACCAAAGAGGAGACAAGTCCCATATCTTATTTGTCCTCCTATTCAAAGTCAAAGAAGCTCTTAACATTCTTGTGATATGATTGTTGTCAAGATTTTTGTAGATATTATAAAAACCAAAGGTTTAAAGAGGAACCCAAAGATAAACTATAAAGTAGCATAACAGATGTTTTACATTTAAATCCATAGGCTGTGAGATGCTTGTTCTTATCCTACAGTCAATGGCTGAAATTCTGACGAAGCCAAACAAAAAAGTGAAAGGAATTAACCATTTTCCAGAGCTATTTATCTTTGACTGTGATTCTTTACCACAGTGTAGTTAACAAACTCCTGATTTTTGACAGCTGAAATAAACTATGCTTCTTTATTCAAGAAAGTTCTGATCATTATCTTATTCTTCATTAGCCAGAAAGATGTATGTGTATGCTAAAAAAGTGACCAACTGAGAGGGTGGAAAAAGAAAGTATTTGGCTTTTAATCATTCTTTTTTCCTTAAAAGAAGAGGTAGCAAAGACTGCCTTATAATCTAGATTACTGTGAACAGCAGATGAGAAACACGTTGCTAGCTCCCTTTTCTGAGCAATACTTACAAATAAAGTTCTCATAGTTAGCTGTAATTCAATCATTCAAAAGCTACTTTTAACAAGATGGTTATCTCCACCCTAAGATGTGTGTCCAAAACAGATGGAATTTGCCATGGGTCAGCAATTGAGCCTGTACCGGTGACCTACACAACTACTTAAAAATAGGAGTGACAAGGTTAAATGAGATGAAAAAACATCTCCAGTCTTCAGCTTTTCTGTGGGTCTTGATGTATGATGCAAACTCTTGAAAATTATTAACTTTTTCTTTCTTTTCTTTAAGGTAAACACTATATCTCATTGTAATGCAAGTACGTAAAAACACTCAGCTTGAATACAGATTCTCCAGTTTGCTCTGAAAGGTATTGTGGTTGCTGTGTTTATACTTTGTACCTACAGTTATTCTAACTAGTCCCTTAATTGTAACCATAATCACTAAACTAAAAGCACATTTTGAAACAGATCAGAGAGCCTACATTTTTAGAAGACTGAGCAGGAAAACATGTCAGTTTATTAAATGAAAGTTTGCAAAGTTATGACTAGAAGTTCCAACTCTCTCAGGAATGTGGAAAACTTTACTGATTAATAAACATACTCAGAAATGTTTCTGGGGTACAAACAAAATAATTTCTTTGACTTTAACAGAGGGAAGACTATTTCTATCTCTCCCATCAGAATGGAATTATTTTGCCACATCATATAAGCTGTAACTAGGACAGTATGTCTTCCTCAACAGCTCAGATTACATAGTTCACATCAAATGTTCTTGCATTTAGTGGTTTGCACCTAAAACAGCTCATCTGCTCTTCCAGGTTGATCAACTATTCCATGCATAGAGTTTCTTGAAACTCTGTATAACAAGTAATTAAGGAGAAAAGAACAACTTCTCAGCAACCTGTCCAAGACCAAAAACTTGATTTCAGAATCTGCATCTAAAACAAGCCTCAGTACCCTCTGTTCAATTTGTTTTGACCTTGTCTTTGCTACTAAGCTATACTAACAAATTTTGCATTGTTTACTTTCAAAAGAGAAAAGGAAAGGATATAGAAAGACCAAGGAAAGACATTGCTCATCTCTCTCCCTGCATTTGGGGAGGCTTTCAAATATGATGAAGTTGAGATTTCAAAAATTCATTTGGAACAGGACAGTACGCAAAAAGGAAACAAAAATGGAGGATGACTCAATCCACCTTAAGATAGATGACTTCCTTCACTGGAATACTTAAGGAACATACTTTTAGATAGCTCAAGTTATTAAAGATGACAAGCATTCCCAAAGGAATACTGCACCTAAGATTGTTTTCCTATTGCAAACCACAGTGAAGGAAATCTGATAACAAACACTGTGGTTCCCTACTGAAGTTTGAAGCCCACATTCAATTCATTTTCCTTTAACCACTACAGATTTTCCCCACTCTAGAGCATAAATAACTCTAGCATGTCATCATTTCCTGTCCCTACTTTTGTCCCAGTCCTCACACAAAGTTTCTGATCAGGAACTCCCAATCTTCAATATTTCACTATTACCCAGTATCTATCACATTGTTCAAGTATATTTTCCGAAAACACCCATCCTCTACCCTAGTTCACAAGGAGCTACCTGCCCACATTAAAAAAAATACCCTCTTCCTCTCTTTCTACTTCATACAGATGAGATTACAACCTAGGAAATCAAATGGTAAAAAAACTCAAGAACATATAGGCTACTGTTCCTTTAAAAAGTTCTAGGATGAATAAAAAGAGTGCCCACAGCACTGTAAATGTATTTGAAACTAAATGGTTGTCCTTTTAGCATAAAATTCCATTTCCCATTTTAATAAATTCAGATATAGATGCAAAATGACTTGATTTCTTCTGTTATTTCCAATAAGGAGTGATTTCTCTATTATAAAAAAAAAAAAAAAAAAAAGAAAAATACTTATCAAACTCACTTTTGGACAGGGCAAAGGCTAGACATGTAGAAGTAGGGCACTGTCCTTATTAAATTATTATAATTCTGGTAAGCAGCTAGAAAATTAATGGAAGACTCTGAGTAATCTCTTACTTCAAAAAGTTCCATGAACCCATTCCAAGAGTTTATAAAACAATGCATTTTACAGCATAGCCCATGGGTTATGATAATATGCCATCCACAGGTCATGTTCATGCCTGCTTTTTATCCAGCACAGCAGACCGAAATAAAGGTGTGCAACTGATCCACTGCAGTTATTAAAGGGGAGTTCTGTCCATCAACATTATCAATCTTTTCTTATAACCATGTCTGAAATATTTCCAAAATTACATGTGCAATGGCTTTCCATCCTATCATGCAGCAAAATAAAAACACATTACTGATACTTTTTTATTCTTACACCTTATCAGGATTTTTTTGAAGTCCTTGTAGGATACATTCTTAGGGTAAGATTCAGTTCATTTTATATAAAACAAAAATTTAGATGTGATGGTAAAAAGGCAAAATTGAAAGAAAATCCATAGGTAACTTAATATAAACTAAATTAGCTTTTGTTTGAGCACAGTAAACACTGTTCCA